TGCGGTGCACCACAAAAACATTTTGGCTTCATTTTAAAGTACTCCTTTTTCGGAAATCATACAGGTTTTTTTTAAATTGCAGCTGATAATTAAAAGTAACAAAATATACAATCCAAATCAGGCGCGTCGCCTATCATTGTATTTCATCAGTTTCATGCTACGACAAAAAATGATAAATTCATTGTAAAACACTTCAATTAAAACAGAATTTTTAATTTTTTAACAACCTAACATCAACCCCAATTAGAGAAACGTGTTAATAACTTATTAATAGTGCAAGAAACTAAATACAGCACATACTTATAAATTTCCAACGGGCCATTATGACGTACAGGCCAGGTGGCAATCGCCACCCGCCCCCCCGGGCCAGTTCGCCCCTGCTTATCAAAGAGATTACTAGAAATTCAACACTTTGTGGCGGTAGGTATTTGAATCACTGTGTAATTAGGATGCTTTCGAATACCATTACCAAATAATAACTGGTTTTATTTCAGTTTAACCATCCCCTAGAAAAAGCGATGATCGTTTTCGAAGATAATTGACAAATCATTCTTTTATATGAAGGCGAATAGTAAACATTTTTTATTTGAAATTTGTCTCCGGAAATGTCATTATCTAAGATGTGATCGAGCAGTCATCAACCGAGGGTTAAACCCCTGGTTAAACCATTTATTTCCGTAGGGGGTGAAAATAGTTCAGCCAAATTACGGTTTGGACTAGATGGTGTCACTTCACTCAACCAAACCAAGTGTATTCTATATAAAAAAATCCGCTGAATTCGAAAATCATAGACTCCCTGCCTGGAAAGTCCCGGAACATATTGTTATAGACAAAAAACGAAGAAAAAACGGGAAAATGTCTAATTTTTCGAATTTGACTTTAATCATCCCGTTAACTATTGCTCTGGGAGAAAACATAAATAAAAATGAAAATGTTTAGAATCGAATTTTCTATAGGATACTGATAGTGTAGAACGTTCCTTTTCAAATGTTCAATCCCGAATACTAATAATTTGATATTACTAAGTAAAATTCATCCGATCTTTTTGAAAATTCGTATTTGGTCACTTCTTTTGATAACAAAACAATATGACAAACCAAATCACCGTAGGTTTCATAGTCAGCGATTAATTAAATAAACCCCAAAAAAAACGATGCTTTGTCTTTCAAACTGGGTGACTTCCAGAGCGTTGTAAATTTTTTTTATAGATGGCGGAACTCTAAAACAACCCCTTTCAATAATTGTCCCGATGATTCTTGCAAATCGACGGACTGCGGAATTTGTTTAGTTAACTAATAAATGGAATAACCCTCGAATTCTCGAAATATAACAAGAAAGGGAAAACCAGCTCCAAGGTGAAAAGCTGATTCCTCGTCTAGTATTCATCGGATTTGGACGTATTTTTTTTAAAGACAAATCATCGTTTTTTTGGGTTTATTGGGTGATAGGGTTTGTCCTTGGGTTTGTCATATTGTTTTGATATCAAAAGAAATGATCAAATACGGCTTTTCAAAAGGATGGGATGAATTTTACTTAGTAATAAGTAATTGTTAATTTTCGGGATTACTTACTTAAAACAGTATCTAACACTTGAAAATGAACTTTCCGGACCAACTTATAGAAATTTCAATTCTAAACAAATTCATTTTTTCTCTCGGCGATAATTAATAAGGAGATAATTGAAATCAAATGCGAACAAAAAGGACATTTTTGCTTCGTTTTTTGTTTATAACAATATCTTCCGGGAATTTCCGGCCAGGGGGATTATGATTTTCGAATTCGGCGGACTTTTTTGCATAGTGTCCACTTGGTTTCGTTGAGTGAAGTGACAGCATCCAGTTTATACTACTTTTGGAACTAATTTAACTGGAGTAAAAGACTTAAACTGGAACGAGAGGATTCAAAAACTATAATTAATAAGCGCTTTATTCTCTGAGTAAACCATTAATCACCACTAGGTGGTTGAATAGTGGGTTATATCAAATGTACAACCTATATTAGAAAGCTCTACAATCTAACAGTGATTCACTAGGTAAATTTCGTTAAAATACATAGAAATTTCAGAATTCTTCAAAATATAGGCAAGCAAATTTGAAGCGTAGGGATTTCAAGGGTAATTTCTTATATTTCAATTACTAGCTCCCCTAATTAGCAAAAGTCTAAATACCTTTTTCTTTTAGAAAAAATACTGCATCTGTTCATACCATTTTTTATAATGTAATTGACAGACGGACGGACGGCCAGAAGTTCCCTTTTTCAAATACTTCCTCTAAAAGGACATGAGTGTACATTTTCAAACCTATTCCGTTTTTTTAAAATCCTAGAAATCGACCGCTGGAGGTCTTGAAAAAGTCATCATGGCTGCTGCGATTTTTCAAAATTAGCATCACAAAATGTCAACAGCTTCAGTTTCTTAAATTGCAATAACTATTTCTGATTACAGAAATGAATGCAGATTTAAATTTTAGGGCCACTTTTATTATGCCTTTAGTATGCCTATATCAGGTAGTTTTTGAGTTATTGTTTTTGAAATACTCTTATTTTTACAATGTGTATTTCCGACAAAAAAGTAGGGGCTCATTTTTTACCCCAATGCAATACCTCCTTTTATTACTAACGTTCGGGTGGTAAAATTGATTCAATAAGAACGTTGATTGTAACTATAGCAAATGTAATATTTGGATAACTACAGCGGAAAATTTCTACCTTAACCAATCAAACTGTTTTTCAAATTTGATTAAAATGCGCTGAAAAGGAGAGGCTTTTATCTTTTTAAAACTTGCTCTATATGACTAAATTAAACATCTGGCCAACGTTGTACCTGTACCTAACCGGCATTTGAGATAAGGACGCCTGTTCCAAAATTATCCCCACCGATCGACTACAAGTACGTTCTGCGCATCAAGTTATAATTTTTGCTAATTCATATAGGTCGCGTTTTGTGTCGTGTGCCCAAGATGTAATGGTTTTTTGCCCAAAATAACAAAACTTAGGGGTAAGTCTTCATTTAACCATAAACAAATAAACTAACACATCAAATTTAATACACGAAATCAAGAAAGGATGTCCGTGTCTCATGGGGCTAAGTTTTTTTAGATTAGACGACTTTCCTTAAACAAAACTAACCCACAAAATGCAAATGCATTACTACTGAAGAGATTTTTTCATTTAGGCATAGATAGGTTTCGTTACTTTTAGGTTCTTAGGTATTTGGCGTGAGCCCCAATTACCTGCGGCCGTGGTTTTAATTTTATTAACGTTAATACAAGAATCATTTTTACCTATAACCACAAAAACGGTTTGCAAAATTTGATTTTATCAAGTTCAAAACTTTCAATTTATCCTACAAAACCCGCACATACGCGTGATATTGATACAGTCATCCCAAAAATTCAACACCTGTTCCTTATGATTGAATCAGGCGCATGAGTCATACCGCCGTCTTCGGCGCGATAACGCCTTTATCTATCAATTTCGAACGGAATAGTTTTTAGGTTCGCTCAAATACAATATCCTAATTTGCAATATAAAAACGGTTCAATTAACAACTAATTTTTGTTCTTTCATTCTTTGTAAAACGAATATGAATGTCCAATTTGTTTACTTGCATTTGATTTGTTGAAGAATACGTTGAATCGTAAGGTTTTTCCTATAGGTATTTAGAAGTGTTGGGATACAAATTATTCGGAAAAAGTCTAACTTTCTATTCAATGCTTTTACACAGTCTGTACCTTTCTTTGGAAATAATCTTCAAAATTAGTGCTCCTTAGTTAAACATACTAACGCTTATTCGCAAATACCAATCCTAATTTTATCGTGTGAACTTGTAGGTTCCCTTATAGGTTGATCTGGTACAGGCACTACTCCTCCCTCGCAACGTCCTTGATTGCAAAATTAGCAACATTTGTATTTTATTCCCAGTTGTTTGATTTAGTTCAAAATCCGATTTGTATAAAATCTTTACATGAACACGTGTTCATGTCGGTGTAATGATGCAACCTTTCACCTATCATTCTCAAAATGAACATCTGTTTTATGCAAAATTAAATGATGCAAACTCTTTTGTCTTTAGGGCGATAGTGAACTCAAACTGTGGGTACTTTTTTCATTCAAACGTTTTTAGATAAGTCCAGATATACACGTACAAAGAAGAATAATTTTACGCATATTATAACGATATAAACTATTAGGTAATTCAAATTTAGATGCCAATGAAGTAACTACTTTTTTTGGCAAATAATTTTAAAGTTCGTCTATCATCTCCTTTGGTAATCACAAGTTCAATTTCGGTGTATTTAGAAACGGATTGATATACGTATTATTCAAATCTCCTGATTTATAGCAAGTTTACACGTGTCATCCCTTAAATATTACTAATGAAATGTTCACACCAGTCTTTTGGACATGATAATTTGTACCGTCTATTATGTTTAATTTGCAGGAGATGCGTTTTATATGATTTGAAAGTTAGGTACTTCCAAAAGATGGAAAGTATGTGTATAAATTCCCTTGACGACGATTTGGAGATGATTTCCGTAGATTTTACGCCAATTGAAAGAAATTAGAGAAAAGTTGAATTGATTTATTGGCATTTAAGGGCTGTAGATTTAATCACAGCCAAATATTTCATTGGTTCGTGTCTAAATATCCAGCCCCTAAAGAATAGCAGTCAAACTTCAAAATTTTGAACATCTTGAAACCCTTTGATGCTGGGCAAAGGGAAATGTGGTATCAAATGACGTAGATTTTCATGTAGATTTCGAAAATACAATAAAATACAGGGTGTTTTATTTAAAATAAGAAAATTGCCATCCACATCCGGTAGAGCGGAAGTGAATACACGATCATGATGATATTTTCTTTCGATAGATCATGAAAAACTACCTTGGTATACAAATATATAGAATAATAGAAATTCAACCTCTTAGTGGTGGTACGTATTTGAATCACTGTGTAATTATAATACAATTACCAAATAAGAGAACTGGTCTTATTTCAGTTTAACGCCTTCCATCCCCTACAACCCGCGATAATTATTTCAACCCCATATAGTGGTGATTGTTCAACTATTTAAGATTATATCGTTTTCGAAGATAATTTACAAATCATTATTTTTTATGAACGAGAATATTTAACATTTTTTATTTGAAACTTGTATTCGGAAATGTCATTATCTAAGTGTGTCAAGCACTAGGTGGTTGAAATAGTCATTCCTTCCAGTAGAAGATGGAGGGGTTAAACGAAAGTTATATTAAACGTATATTGGGATTAATGTAATAGTTATCCGCTATCACTACTAGGGGGTTGAAAGTTGAATTATTATACAGGGTGGAGGATTTTGGACACGATAAGTTCAAGATATTTTTTCATACGACTTTTAATTATAGAGATAGATTTTTAAGTCGGTGGTGGAGTAATTTTTCCCACCATTTTCTCCTAGAGTAAGTTAAGTATAAATTTTTTATAAGCTTTTTTACAATGGAGAATAAAATTGATTTGATTTGATTTGATAAAGTATAAAATTTCGGTGAATAACATAGAATTTTCAAGTCTTCAAAATATAGGCATGTCACTTTGAAGCACTCATACAGTATACATATTTTTTATTAAAAATTTTACAAAAAAAGGAGTATATGTATCTCAGATTTGTGTAAAAGTTCATGATCTACTCTACAGTCTCTTAATTACAATATTTTTTCGAAAGTGAACTTTTAAAATGTTATGGTTGAAAAACTAAGAAACCAACCAAAATTTCGCGGGTTTTGAGGGTGGTGCAAAGGGTGGGAGGTCGAAAACTTGAATTCTTAACCACTAGTTCTTGGCCATTTACTCCATGCCTTAAAAAAATACAGTATGGGTACCTATTTGATTTAATGCGCTATTCAATTTATGATCATTTCAATTTGTTTTTTTTTCCTAACGTTCATGTTCTATTTCATTTTTCAGTTATTGGTGTTATCGCGTAGTGCAGTGGACGAGTGCAATTGTGCGGTGTTCGATCTTCCTGTGGATAATGGACCTTCGTGGGCAAGACCGATAAAATAAGGCTAAAGGGTAGGTACATTTATACTTTTAATTACAGAATTATCACAATAATTGAATGTAGCACAAATGGAATTATTTTTACAATTAAGTTCGTTAGCAAACTAATATGACCAATTTTCTAAAGTATTTCCCCTAGCCATCAAATATTTGATTAATTTCAAGTCAGGTTTGTTAATCCTGATAAAGGATTAGGACCTCCAAATCTTGACAATTTTTTTGTAATAAATTGATCGAATTTTAAATATAGCTTCGAAATTGCTTCTTTCCACATTGTAACGTAAATTTGTTCTTTGTTCCAGATTCCAGAAGGGCAGCCTTATAAAGGTAGGAATTTTCTATTATGCATGGTTTGTTGTTGCATGTGTTATTATGTGTATTTAGCAAGGGGGGAGTGATTAGTGCATACAGTGACTAAAACGAAGATCAACGACACTTCCTACCTGATCCTGGGACTGTACTAGTGAGTCTCCGCCTTTTATCTTGGTGACGATTGCAATGATTCATTGGGTAGTCTTTTTCGCGGAATTGATAATCGACTGACTTCATATCAAAGTGCAACTATGAGTTCATAGCCTTGCCAGAAATATGAAGTCCATAGATTATTTCGGCGAAATAGACTATGAAAAGGTGTTACCGTTTCCAAGTTGAAAGACGTCGAGCTCATTTACAGATACACCAAGGTCAGGTTCGTGCAAAGGTAGGTAGGTGATTGAATTTTCGCTAATTAATTAATCAATTCATCCAAACAATTGTACTGAAATGATTAATTAATAAACGAACACACTGAAACACGATATTATGATGGCCCCACTAATCTCATTGATGGTCCACAGCTCTCCGTACTACCGATCAGGATTGACCACTACTGCATTCTACAGTTCCTGTGAAGGACAACCTCCTCCTGCAATTCCACTTGAACAATCCCATGGACACGGTGAGTACGCCACTGCTTTTAACATAAACGAATTTGGTATGCTTCAAATAATTTTGTAGCAAAAGATCAAAGAATGTGTGTTTTTATAATTTACTAATCACCCAGATTTACACGAAACGCAGTGTACCTCATTACCTCATTAAATGAAAAGACGTACAGATCAATATAGTAACCAAACAATGTCATTATTATCATGTTTTAAAGGAACCCAGAAAATTCCGATTACTTCCAAAGATATGCTAGAAAAATTTGACGATTTCTTTTTATTTTTTCTGGTGTTATTTGAGCAGATACATAAAAATAAAAAACACTTTCTCATTGCCACTTTTTGAGCTCTACAAGACACCCTTGAGAGATTTTCAATACGGTTTCATCAACTTTAATTTTTTATATAGCCCGTAAAAAAGTGCATACTGTAAAGAATAACATTTTTTATTACGAATACAACAATATTCGGCACACAAAAAAAACAAAAGTGAGAAACTGTTGGTTTCAGCAGGATGGTGCACCCGCGCACAAAGCCCTAATGGTGCAAGAATACCTATCGGCCAAATTCTGGAAAGTGGAAAATGTGTCCGATAGGTATTCTCTCACGATTAGGGCGTTGTGCGCGGGTGCACCATTATGTTGAAACCAACAGTTTCCAACTTTTGTTGTTTTTGTGTGTACCGTATATATTTGTTATAAAAAATGCTACTCAATACAGTATGTACTTTTTTAGGTGATGATGATTTCTCCGAAACAAAACTTGCATTAAAAATCTCTCAACGTTTTCTTATAGAACTCAAAAAGGGGTAATGAGAAAGTGTTTTCTTTTATTTTTCTGTATCTGCTCAAATAAAATCAGAAAAAACAAAAACGAAATCGGAAAATTTCGGTTTTTCCAGCATATCTTCGACAGTAATCGGAATTTTCTGGTTTTCTTTAAAGCATGATAACTGTTTAAATGCGCAACTTTTCCCTTATTTGACGTTTGATTGTATCTCCCATGGTTTCGGAGATCCCTATCCTATGAATTGATAGACATTCTTATCTTGGACACAGTATATATCTACACCCTTTTGTATAGTAAATTGTCTTTTATTTTTGCGGTTACATTATCTACATAGTATTTTTAACTTATACAAGAAAAAGATGTAGGATTAGGTATATTCGTGTTTTTTTTTCAGACCTGGTCACCCGAATCATGCCAACTCGTCGATCACTGCAGAACGTGGCGGTCCCCTAGGCGGTCCCTGTCCAACTCGTTCAAACTTGGGGTAAGTCTTTAAGTAAACTTTAACACTTTATGAAACCTCCATCAATACAATATAACTATTCGTTTACCGAGCTAGAAAATCGGGGCCCTTTGACCAAAGGTCTTTTTATAGTCGATTGACCGGGGTAAAAAAATTAACTCGTTAAAAGCGAACACGTCATTATTTAAAGTATTTCCATTTTTAACAAGCTTATGTAAAAAAAATGCGTTTACATAATTTAAATGATTTTTGATGTTATATTCTAAACCGTAAAGGTAGTTGCACAATTTAAAGTTACTTTCAATAAAATTTATCCTAATCTTGCGATTAATATTAAATCTATACATATCAACCCTTAAAAAAACATATAAATATTATAAATGATATTAAATTTACATACAGGGGGTAATTTAAAAAAAAACGCCGCAAGCATTTTAATTGTGGTTATTTATAGCATTTTTGTAGTAATAGAAACATACTGTTTGCTCACGATTCCACTCGATGCGTATGGAGGAATGTTTCTATGGCAAGCTACAAAATTTCTAAAAATTAGCTTCTTTAATTTTGTGTGTGAAAAATTCCAATCATTGAATTTGGGGAAAAAATTCTATCAAATTCAATTAAAAAAAACATAATCGTGCCATTTAAAATATTCTCAACTATTAGTAGCACTCCTAGTAGTAATTTAACATATTTTAATTACGGTTGTTTTGTAGTAATTAAATATGGAGAGAGAGAGAGAGAGAGAGAGAGAGCATTTATTTCAACCACGAATGTGGTGTAACTGTCACACAATAACAACATAAATAAAAAACACAATAAAGTACAATAAATAATATAACTATATCTATAAAAAAGAAATGTAAATAGGTATATATATTAAAATTTATTTATATATATATATATTTTTTTTTTTTAAATATGACTAGCATTTTTGATATTCGTAAAGAAATCATCCAGTGTGTATAGCACCATTGTTTGAAAAATTTTTCTAATTTGGTTTTTAAAAGGAGCCAACATTGTAATACATTTGACATGTGCCGGAAGGACATTATAAAATCTCACCCCCATCTGTAGGTAGGACGAGTTATGCACCTTACTTTTTGATCTCATTATAGAAAAGTTATTTTTCGTTCTCGTATTATATGAGTGGTTATCACAATTTAATGAAAATAATTTTTTGTTTTTGAACACGAAACATAAACATTCAAGCACATATAATGAATAGACGGTTGCAATCTGAAAGTTTTTAAAATACGGTTTGCAGGATTCCCGTTTCTGTAGCGAAAACATTACCCTGATTGCTCTTTTTTGAACCTTAAATATGCTAGCAATTCTATAACTAGTAGCATTTCCCCATAATGAGATACCGTATCGCACCTTACTTTCAAATATTGAATAGTAGATTTGCAAAAGGGTTTTATGGTCACATAAATTTTTACAACGGGACAATGCGAAAATCGATGAATGTAATTTTGCTCTCAGATGGTCAATGTGATCTTTCCAACTAAGTTCTGTGTCTATAATAACTCCTAAGAAGGTACAGGATTGACACCTTTCTAATTGAACTGACTGGTAACGCAGTGGAGCGATATCCAAACCCATATTTTTCTTATAAAGAAGAATTTTTGTTTTTTCCAAATTGAGCAAAAGTTTATTTGCATTAAACCAATTAATAAGAGTTGATAACGCACGTTTTAAATTAATTTCTAACTCTTCTTCAACACAAGCCACACTCACACTAGTGTCATCTGCATATGTGGTGATATCACATGAAGATGGATCGAAGCAGTTAAATAGGTCATTAATAAAGATTATAAATAATATAGGACCAAGGATAGATCCTTGGGGTACACCATACTTGATTGGTTTTAATTCGGATGCAACTTCAATAATTTGTCCCGAGGAAGCAATTTGCTCAACTGCAACATATTGTGACCTATCACTAATAAAGGATCTCAATAAATTTAGCGTCACGCCTCTAATGCCATATGAGTATAGCTTGTCCAGTAACAAGTCATGATCAACCAGATCGAAAGCCTTCGACAAATCACAACTTATCGATGCTACAACCTTGCCATTATTATGCGCAGTGCGTATGTAGTGTAACATACTTTGTAAAGCTGTGGTAGTTGATTTATTTACTCTATAGCCATGTTGTGAACTATTAAACAATTTATGGGTTTCCAAAAAGGCAATTAATCTAACTTTTATGAGAGATTCTAGTATTTTCGATACGGAATTTAAGATCGAAATTGGTCTATAATTTTGTGGTTCTGATTTAGATTTTGATTTGTGAAGTGGGTTAATTTTTGCAATTTTACCATGGCTTGGAAAAGTCCCAGAAGAGAAAGAAAGGTTAATTAAGTAAATCAAAGGTTGATATATTTCATCAAACACTTCTTTATATATTTTTATAGGAATACCATCGTGACCGCAAGCTAACGTATTATTTAAATTATTTACAATATTGAACAATTCAGTTTTTGTGACAGGCAGCAAATAGAAAGAATTTGGTGATGATGGGATAACTTTTGTAGTTTCGTATGTTGGAGGTATGTTTTTTCTACATTCATGCGCAACGGAAGCAAAATAGTCATTGAAAATATTAGCAACGTGTTCAGAATTAGTAATAACCTTGCCATTTTGGTTTAAAGAAATAGATGTAGTTTTTTTGTTTGTTTATTTAGGTTTTTATTTATAATTTGCCACGTGGATTTTATTTTGTTTCTCGAATTCATTATAATTCTTTTAGTTTGCATTTTTTTTGCTTGTGCAATAACTTTTTTAAATATTTTATTGTAGCGCTTGAAGTGATCAGTGAAATTTGATTGAGGATTATTTCGCATATTTATGTAAAGCTTCCGCTTTACCTTACTAGAAGTTCGGATTCCTTTTGTCACCCAATTCCGGGTTTTCTTTCCAAGGTAATGTTTCCTTAAGGGAAAACAATTAAAAAATATAGGTTGAATAATTTTAAAGAAATGACTGGTGAACTGATCTACGTTGTGTATGGTGTATAAACGGCTCCAGTCAATCCTTTGTAGGTGGTGTTTAAATGAATTTAAATTAGTTTGATTGATAACACGTGTCCACAAGTATAGACTAGGTTTTATTCTATTAGTTTTCATAATGAATATTTGGGCGTTTTGATCCGAGAAATCTACAGAAAAATTGAAGGTGCGGTAAAAAGTACTTGGAAGGTTAGTAATAATATTGTCGATGGTTTTTGTTGCATCAAATTCAGACAAAAACTGTAGGCGCTACAGCTTTCTGCGTTTTTGAAATTACAACCTGCATATCAAGTTTTCACCAAAGTCACTAAGAAGATATTGTTGACTAAGAAGTATTCAAAATCCCCTCATTTTTTTGAAGAAAAATTTCAAATATATTTACTCTTTTCTTTGCACGTAGTGCGTATGGTCAAGTTCTATACAATAGTATGTTGAGCACTAAAAAAGCAAATATTCTCATGAAAATTTAATTATGCCGTTTATTTATTGACAATTGACTAACATTAAATTTATACCGGTCTTAAAATGGATTAATTTATAACAGTAATCATTATTTATCGCCTACAATTTATAACATAACAAAAGCGCATCGAATTTGAAACTGACTGAAATGCTATTCTCAAACCCGAATGCTTCTGAATGTTGTCGAACATTCTAGAACAAAATACGTCATACTTCTCGGAAAGATTACGTCCGATACGCCTTCATTCTTTACCTCCGACGAATAATCTGTTATGGCGCCTCGATGTCCATCGAGTTTTATGGAATATTTGCTACACTTCTTCTCTATTAAAACTATTCCGTCTCGGAACACGCAATGACGGTTATAGCGGAGACAGTCCCAGGTCCCTCTTGTTCTATGACGCGAACGTGGTGACGGTACTTGCACGACGATTTAATTAAAATAAAAAATAAATAAATAAATCAAATCAAAATTTTAAAAAAATGTTGTGTAATTATCAGTCACCACCTTTCATGGAAATGAACGTATTAACTAAGGCTGTTATGTAACGGAGCTTGACATGTACAGGTACACTCGAAGGCGAAGAATATACACAATATAACATATTTTGGCTAGGCACAACCTGTCTCATTAGATTAGAATAATACACAAATAAACAAAATTACCCCTAAGTATAACATTAACTGGATTGATAACTCATAACTCAATTTCGATTTGCGTTTTTGGGGTTTAAATTTGGTATAAATCAGCTCACATCAGCCCCTAAATATGGTCAATAAATTGAATAGCCCGTTTTCAATGATCTTAGTCGTTTTTTGCCATTTTCGTCACTTTCGGGTGCCTTGCAGTTGTACTTAAAACATTTGTCTATCATGTAAAAGTTATCAAAACGCGAAATAAAATACATATAACTCTCGCCAGGAAAGATTGCCGGTCACAGAACACTTGATCACGATCTACAATCTCTGTTTTTCGTAAGGTGCTAGCGACTTCCGGGATAGTATCGTGTCAATGTTGAACGAAAAGACTTTTTGTTCAACATTAACACGATCCTATTCCAGAAGTCGCTCACATCTTAATAAAAACAAAGATTGTAAATCGACACAAGGTGTGCTGTGACCGGCAATCTTTCCTGGCGAGAGTTATACACTACACGCCACCCTCAAGAACGTCATTATATTAAAATCCTCACTCAATATATACATTTCAACATATTTTTCTTTTCAGTAGTCGGTGTTATCGTCTTCCCAAGTGCGATTTTTGCTGCGATTGATAGTACTTTCCAGGCGAGACGGAATTGATAAGGCTAACGGGTAAGTTTTACTTTTTTAGGGCATAGCATTCTTAATCAGGGTTGACAAAACGAAAAACTCATTTAATTTGTGTCAAAAACCCACCCAACGACTTATACAAAAACCCAACACAAAAACCCATACAAAAGCCCAAAGAATTTGAGACACAAAATGAGACAAAATCGAGATAATTTTTATATAGTATTTAGTAACAAAATATAATGAAGTTTACTTGGAAACAGACAGGTACTGATAGATCAGTCTTACATTCTTATTCCTAAGCTTCAAGAACATTTTACATTAAAATATAAAATACGAAACGGCTTTTTCATTAGAAACAAAAACAAAATAAAATATATTTCACTTGGAAACAGACAGGTACTGATAGATCAGTCCATATATTCTTATTCCTAGTTTCAAAAAAAATTTACATTAAATATAAAATACAAAACGGCTTATTCATTAGGAACAAAAACCTAAAACAACTTTTTCTCTTTTTTAAAGTGGCTCATTTTTATTATTTTTATAAGCTTTTCTACTTTATCGGGCAGTCTAAGTTCAAAATTAACGTTATTTTTCTATAATTTGAGGTTAGAGTTCCGGAAATTCGACAAATACCCTAAAATTACCCAAATAGCCAAGAAAAGCACAAAAACCCAACACAAATACCCAAAACTCCACCCAAAGCATACAAAAACCCAGATTTTTGCCAACCCTGTACTTAGTGGTACAACGAAAACGAATCAGATCGAATAACCTGTAAGAAAATAGCCTTTGGCAAAAACGCGAAAAAACAGGTCGATTTTGGTTGGAAGGGATCTTTTATTTAAACATTTACACCTCTGGCATCAACCCCTTAAACAGGGTTACCTCCTTTTCAATAATGTTACATTGAGGGTTGGGTGAGTGTCGAGTAATTAGAAAGGGCTCTTAATTTCCTATACGCCTATGGTATACTTTTCAAACTCGAGCGAATGTTTTGTTCGTATAACCGTATTTATTCACCTACAAGCTTAAATATCCATTTGAATTATGTAGTCATTTGCAATTTTGTATCCTTCAAAGGACTCACTCAAATTTAAAAACTAAACCACGACCCAACATTCAATTTGAAATTAATCAAGGGGTAGCTACACTGCTTAGGGGGTTGAAGCTAGGGATGGATGTGAATTTTTAAATAAAAGTAAAAATCGATCTGTTTTTGCGTTTTTTCCTTACAAGTTTCGTTTTCGTTGTGCCACCCTGGTATAGATACGTACTAACACAGTAATTAAGTCACAAGAAACCATATTTACTGATCGCCTCTTCAGCTAAAAAATTAGTTCCCTATTTCCAAACTGGAATTGCTAGCCTGTTTTTAGTATACGTAAGACAATTTCCTCTGACACTACCCGTAAAAGATTTTATTAATTTGCCAATGTTGCATACATTATGTTTTTTATTTATATTTATCCTTTGTTCTAGAATCCAGAAGGGCAGCCTTATAAAGGTAGGATTTTTCTTTTTTTGTGTAATGTCCATGTAGTGGGGGAAAAGTGAAAAGTGAATAGTGACTCAAAAGAAGATCAACTATTTTCAGCTTATCTTTCAGAAGTAAGTGAGTTTTGACAATCTTCTACGCCCATTGATCTTGGTGACGTAAGATTGCCTGCAATGGTACTTCGAATACTCTCTTTTGCGATAGTGATGAGTTCATTTCTCTTGAATGAGTATGGCCATGAATTCATAGCCATGCCAGTTTTGTGAAGTAAACAGATTTGCTGTGCAAACGAGACTATCAAGAACTAATGCAGCCGTCGTTTCCGTTCTTAAGATAAATGTCTTGGGGGATTGTTAAACCTCATTAAAGGAAGGTAAGTGATTTAGTTTTCAGGGCAACGATGCCCTACTTATTCTATTCTATCTAAATGATCTGCTTGCAAATATGAAATGATTCTTTTCTGATCTAAACGACTATTTACCACGATACTGATTCGTGCTCTGAGCTGTACATTTAGTTTCTCTACTACTCATAAGCGTAAATTACAAAAGTCCGCGAATACAAAACCGTCTCGACAAAAGCGCCATAGTGATTTAGTGCTGGAGTTTAGTGACTTAGTGACTTAGAGGGAAGTTTGGCACCCTCAAACGGTAAGTGAATCTTCGGAGGTTCAGTGGGACCACTTGAGCGACCTTCGGTTGCCCAACGCCCCACCTCCATTTTCTTTAGAATAACTTTGTTAGTGTCGCAATTTTTAATTTCTCTTTTACTCCCTCATACCTGTACTATGTGCATCCTTGCCAAGTGCCGAACCAACTTCCTATACTTCACCCATCCTGAAAGTGGACTGCTTGACCAAGACAAGCAGGGGTGGTGGTGGGCCCCTTCCTTCCTTCCTATCCTTATTGGACACCAGCAGGAAGACAAAGCAATCCATGGAGCAGACCAGAAAGAAGCAAATGCGGCGAGTCGATTTCGTTCAAGTAGAAAGCGTGAAATCGTGACCATTTCGAACTGGACAGTCGCGACGCGGAATACTCCAAAAGACTTTGAGATTGGCAGCAAGGAAACCTTTAGACTGATAAGTACACTTCTTATCCTTGGTAATCCTGGATCCTAATCGAACAAGATTTCAGACAAGGCAGTTGGTCGAGTAGGAACCTTTACCTGATCCATCGATTTGGGGTTTCGCCATAGAGGAATCTGCGTCGAGTTGTACTGGGACACTTGCTGGGGAACCTGTGAAAGCATACGCAATGAAGAAGTAAGTACGAAGTATATACTGCCTACTTAATATTTGATTATTTTGCATTTATGTAAAAGGGAAAAAAATATTAAAATATTGCTGTGTTTCTTCATTCGCGCGCAAAAAAATAAATGCTGTGCCTCACGTTGGAGGTGCAAAAATTATTTCTGTGTGCAATGGCATAAGTTCGTTACACAATTCGAATAACACTTACCTACCTACACAACAAATTAAACCTTGTAACAAACCCCATCTTCCAATAAACTTTATCTTTAAGAACTAACGAGAAATTGAATCTAGATCAGGGACCAGCTGGGCTTCGAAATGCTGGAAAATTTTAACACTGACTTATAAAAATCTTGAGGTTCCGGAAATACGTAATTCAAATGACACAACACTATTTATTAAATTTTGACTTATACTGGAAATCGCCCGCTACATCGGTACGCAAACTCGACCATCCGCATCACTATTTTTCATTTTCGGCAAAGGCCGACGAAATGCGAGCACTTGTTTACATCGCACCTCCTTATCTACAAACTTTGCACATGTGCCATCGCCACAATTAAATTTTACTTTGATAATGTCCCCTCATTTCGAATAGATGCAATAATTCTTTTACAAACATGTTTCTCAACGCCTGCGTCTTAAATTACAATTAAAATCTACTAAATTATTTAACAATTTTTTTGTATTCATGGTAACTAAGGCAGCCGATATCGATCACTAAAAAATGGCGGACGGTAGATACATGCCATTTCAACATTTTGCAAAAAAAATGATATAGTATGTTAAAAATTCAAGGATTTCATGTAATCAGACAAAAGAATGCAAAAATTGACGTTAAGATATACAGAGTGCTGTATTTAAAAAATACCAACTTTGGATCAAATCTCAGAAATGGTGGCCCAAACATGTTTTTTGACTACGCCACTGGATTCTACATAAAAATATCTAAAACAGGCAGTTTTTTATCTTACATCGGTAGTAAGATAACATCTCAAAAAGTCAAACTTTTCGTTTTGTACCCCATATTTCAGAAACAAACATAATTAAGATTGATCCTATATTTGTGGTATTAAAAGTTTCACAAAAAAGTGGCACAGATTTGCGAAAATTGCAAGTCTCCATCTTTAAAAACTTCTGAGATACACTGCAGTCTCAACCAAAATATCAAACGTAGTTGTTTTTCTTAGGTAAATGTAATAGGGAAATTTAGAAGCAGTTATGAACCGATTATTGCGTTACTTTTCATCCCGCATTGCGTTTTAATCCCTCCGAAAGAAAAAATGACACTTTAGTTCTAGTGTATTACCTATATACCAAGAGACTAAAGTTTGTGTTTTAATCCCGAGAGTGCAGATTATTTGCCCGAAACGGGATTGGGACGCATCTTAGTCCTGTGCACTTTGTCCATCCGTACCTCTACTAGTCCTCCAGTTTAAGCTTTTTCGTTGTGGTTTCTTTCTTATACGGTGTAGTACAGCCTACCAGAGTTCTTACTGATTCTGTGCGGAGAAAATGCGTTTTCGTCGGTCGGTAGTGACCACGTTTTTAACTTGTTTTTCTTCGGTTAACGCAACGAGATGGATAAAGATACTGATCATTCGGTTGAAACTAAATTTACCCCTATCAGACCTTAAATAGTAGCAATACAATTCATACACATTTTCCTTTTGGATAAATAATTTCAAACTTGGTCGTTTGTTTTAAATTAACGAACTGGAGGCGTCTAATTTAGGGTACTAATAATAAACTAAAAATAGCAACATACTCGCGACCAAGCTCCATAGGGGAATCGAACTTTGGGTACCTACTTATTTTTTAATAGGATAAGTTTAAGGAATGTCAAATGTATAGTGTTTATTGATAATATTTTGTATAATATTGCACCAATTTGTTATTACGCGAGTAGAAGGCCGGCTCCCCTCCGCCATCTTGGATTCTGTGACGTCACAACGTCATGATCTTGGACTTTAAGGTCATGTGACGTCACATGGCCTTGGGGTTTCCTAAAGCCGTTACCTTTTGGACTTTCACTTTGGGATTTCCCCAGGTTGTAACCTTGGTTTTGGACTTTGGTATTGGGTTTTCCCAAACTATTATTGCAGACCCGAGCGACCGAAAGGGAGCGAGAATAGGCAGAGTCCTCCAAACTATAAACACTGTGTTATATTCAAGATCTTTTTATAACACTCACGGCCATTTGCACAAAAAAGATAATCCAGGATTATTGTTTAATCCGGTATTAAGACATTTGATTGGCTTTATACTGCAGTATGCAGCCAATCAAATGTCAAAATTCTTGTTTAAACTCAGATTTGGCATTTAATGTAGGTATTGATTATAATTCGCTGTTTGTCAAGGCTGGTGTAGGTAGTAACCATGGTCATGGAATCAACAGAATTAGGTATGGAAAATTAAGCAGCGTAAAGGACGTTACCATTGACGACGTACTTTTTAAGAAACAACGAATTTTATAATAATTTAAACGCGTTTAAATGAACCTTAGAAACGGTTTAAAATTTTTTAATTTAAGGGTGTTTGTTTATTACCGTGGTTCGGATATTACATTTAGTAATTTTCTTAGATTTTCCTAAGTAAAACGTAATGGCGACAAACAGAAGTTTTTTATGCTTGTCATTCAGTCTACTTATTGCAAGCCTTAAATTTCAGGATTAGTCGTTCTTCAAAGGTACATTTAGGATTCTTATTCTGATATTGTGCTTTTCTACACATACCAACCCTTGCGCAGGCGGTGACGGTTAGTGCGAATTTCAAATATGCCCGTCTGTATTTTTCTTCGGGCAGTTGCACTCCCGTAGCATGCGCAAGGAAAGTTTGGCCACCCGAATGTACGCCGGAAAACTGCCCAATAACAAAAATTCGCGAGGCTTTGGAATTTTTTCAATAATATGCTTAATTTTTGGGCTTTTCATTATGAAAACCAAATTAAGAATTCTGTTTTAGGAGTTGCTCCATTCTCGTTCTTATGATGATGAATTTTAGGTCTGAAATGGTTTCGTTGCGACATTTGCACTATTTAAATACTTAAAACATTATAAGGTGCGAAATTTACGATAAATTTTGTCGTATTAATAATGAAAATTTTTATTTTTTCCACTAAAAAAAATAGTAAAAACCAAGTTTGGCAGAATAGCTTCCTAGCTTAAACTAGATATTAGAATACAACGTTTTTGGCAGTCTGGCATCTTTTATGACTAATTTTCACGTAATCAAAGTAACCATTTTGCAGAAAAAATTTTTAGTTTTCTAACTTTGATATTTAGCACAATTTTTGTTGATTGTACACAGAAAAAGAAAGCCGTTCCAATAATTTAATAAAAAAGTTCGATGCCGTTGTGGTGCTCCAAAATTTTTTTTCAAAAATCCGGACCGTTATTTTTCATTTCCGTTTGCCTAATATACATATCCAAATTTGCGGAGCCAACGTACGCACGTATAAATATGTACAGACGGGAAAAAATTATTTTTAAAGTTAGCTTAGAATGATCTATTACGTCGGCATTTGATGAAATTTTGACATGTCCAAAAAACGGTGACCTAAATAGCCACTTAGCTCAAACTAGGGAGCTAATTAGAAGAAAGATAAACTCAAAACCAAAATACTTACTTTTTTTACTAATTGGCGTAATATTGAATCTTTAGATGATTAAAATGCGTTGTTTGTTCTACCATTTAACGATGAAAGATAAGCTATTGGCCGACTTAAAGAATAATTAATACTGTTAATAATTAGATTTAAATTGAATATTAATTGACTGGTAACTAAGCCTGCTTGATTGGAATGTAAAAATAATTAATTTTATTAGCATTCTTTAGTGGATCATAGAAAAAAAAATTAAGAGTAAAAAACTCTCTTAATGATCTAAAATCCAATATGGATCCCATTTAGCAAATTTAAATTTTTATTCATATGTCAGTAAAATTGCGTTTTTCCATCGTTTTTAGGTTTCTATCGAAATGAGAAATTTTCAACATTTTTTTCAATTTTTTGGAAACCGATGGTAGTTTTCTACGTGGAAATTTAATCAGCTTACAAAACCCATTTAAGACATTTTTACTATATAACGCAAGAAAGATTTTGAATTAGTGTTTCCACAAGTGCAATTGATAGTTATTTTGTGGTTGTAGGAAGATTAACTGGACGAATTGGCAAAAATTTCACTTTGCAGGTGCAGCGTATTATTATAGCATTTATAGTCTATTATCCTTGCAGCACACTTTGTAATTGAGGCTAAAATTAAATATATCATCCCTTAATCGACGCTAATAAAATGTATTCAAATGTTCTTAATTTGTTTGGCAGCAATTTTCAACGTTAGTCACCGTCCTAGGGGAATGTAGTCGAAACTGGGCAGTCTAATTTAGGGGTGTTTTGTGCAACAAATTCCTGAATATTGTGATTAAGGTTAAATCTAAGCCTATCATCCCTTAATCGACGCCATTAAAATGTTTTCACATGTTGAAAATTATAAACTAGCAATTTTTTGCGTTTTCTCGTGTATGCTCTGACATAATCCAATCTCTGCAATAAATCATTAGCGGCACTGGTTCACGGTTTTACAAAAAAATTCCCTCTCCTAATAATTACATCGCTAAGATACAGCGTAAACTGCGCTTTTGAATTTGTTTATCTGGCTTTTCCATAAGCAAATCCCCTCCAAAGTAGGTTGAAGTGTATAAAAGTGAAAAGGAAGTACAAAATCGCTTAATCTCGAATTTAAACTATCCCGGTATACGTCAATTAAGTACCAGTTACAAGATTTGTGGAGTGGATATGATTATGTGAATTCAACTATTCCCGATACCATGGATAAATCAGAAGAGATGCAGGAGCATTTTGAAGGTATGCAATGAATAATGGCAAGACCAACAAAATACGTTTACAGGAAATGAAACTTTAACATCCTCATGGACGTCTTTCCTAAAAGGAGGAATTAATTATACTGGCTGCAAAGCTTGCCTTATTATAAATATTAATCGTCATATAAATGAAG